TGTCGTCCGTAGTCTCTCTTCGAAAATCTTCCGGAGTCATCACAATAGGGACTGGATAGTAAGTTTCCTACAATATTCTTAGTTAGGATGTAGGATGTAGAGGGTAAAAGCTCACCATATCTTCTTGACGAGGAGGCCAACTGGAAACGAAACAACTTGAATACACCGTACACTTCCCCTTCCGGCGAACAGCGATATATAGATCTGCGTCATATAATTCAACAGTCTCATTGCATTTTCTAAGGAGACTGCGTTTGCGCTTCTCGAAATTCTCGTTCGCTCTTCGCCCACCACTCTTTTTTGGGACGCTTCCTTCTCTTTTATCTCGCTTTTCAAAAGCCTGCAAGGTCGCATGAGCTGCGGATACTGAAGACATTATCACTCGAGGGCGACTGTGGCGACAGAAGTTTAGGAGGTATCTTTCGCATGGACGGCGGCGATCGTCCCGCAGGTATCAAGGACTTCATTTGTCGTGACCCTGATGTCCTCTCTTTCAGAGGGGACGAGAAATAGGCCATTGCCTTCTCTCATACAGGTCACCGATTTGGGAGGCAATGGCAAATCCGCAGCTTTGAATGGTATAGTACAGAACCGTTTTCTCTGGAAGTGAATGGGAATGTTGGAGCCCAAAAAGGGGCCCTCGAAAGACATCCAACGACGTCAGCCAGAACCACAGGTCATGGGAACGGGCCCTCTTCTAGGGATCGTTTTCGCTGTAAGGAGAACGGTTGTGCAAAGGAGAATTTGACCACAGCCTTCCATGGTGCATTCAGTGTCTTTCCGATGCCCCAGCGAACTTTGTTTTTCTACCTCGCCTCGCACGCGAAATGGGAATCTCGGTCAACCATAGTGACACTAGCGCAACTTGCATTTTGCGCTCTGCGCGTTCCCGTAACTACTGGCATTGTGTAGCTCCGCTTCTGCATGCGACAGAGGTTGCCCTCGACAGTCCACGAGGCAAGGGATATGCAATCCTTAGTGAATGTCACGAAGTGACCTTATGGCCGCAGGCTGTGGCATGGTAGAGAAAGGTGTCCCGACGACTTGGCACAGATACTAGTGGACTACTGGAGCCATAAGAGGCAAGTCACGTGATGTGCCCAGCATTGATCAGTAGGAATGGCTATTCCCAATACGTAGGGGGGGAGCACGCTGTACAAGGAAATGGCTATTCCCAGTACGTGGGGAGAGCGCACTGAACCAGGAAATGTTATTCCTGGTACGAAGGGGCGTTCGCGTGGGACGCTTTTAACAGAGTCTGCAATTAACCCAATGGGAAGCATCTCATCCTGACGATGGGGAATTTCCAACGGACTTCGCGTGTTGAAAAACCTCGTCCCGCCCAGAGAGACCGCCGCACTCCCCCATCATGGTACCGTCGAGCCCTGCTTATCAGTTTCAAGGAGAATGGAGAAGTGAATGCCTATGACTTTGACGAGGATCTTTCAGAGCTGGAAGAGGACAAGGAACAAGGGACAGATGATATCGAGCCGTTCCAGAGCGAGGACAGGGACGATCCGGGCTGCGAGTGCGATGATGAAGACTTAGAGTGTAACTGCAAGTTTGAGAACGATAATATGGGCGAAGATGACGGGTCGGAGAGATCGTACGACGGCTCTGATGCCGATTACTACTACGAGCTGAAAGAGGAGCGCGATGAAAGGAAGCAGGCGAAGCTACGGGAGCGGAAGGAGAAAGAACGACAACGAGATATTGAGAAGACCAGGGAAGAAGAAGTTCGCGTTGCATACAGATCTCTCAACAAGGCTGAGAAGGAACGCAAGACAGTCCCGGCCGGACCACTTGCTGGTCAGAGTTTCCAGCTGTTCTGCAGCGATCATGTTGACCTTTTTTACTCCGATTTCTACGTGACCAAAAGAGTGGACTTTTACTACCTCGACGACACAAGCAATCCCGGTCGACACAACCAGAAGCCTGGACGCGAAACTGACATGTTATATGGCGACGTGTATCTCAATGCAAATGCCAACTGCAACTTTGGCCCGTTCTGCCCCCCGAAGCGAGCGAGTCGGAAAGCTTTCAAGGTCAGGAGCTGCGATGGCATGTACGAGCTGTCGTTCAAGTTCCTCGGTGGTGGTTACCTGAAGCTGAGAGTCTACCGGGAAATATTGTTCATGAATCCATACAGCCCGAGCTCCCCAGCTCCTCCCGCGGCTGCTCCGGAAGTGTTCGAGTTCGTTGGCATCAGGCGCGATCGCGAGAAGGAGAAAGGGGAACGGCAGGAGAGGATGACAAATTCGCGCCGCTCGCCATCGCCCCGCGAGAGTTGGTTTGAGATGAACCATCCCATGGGATCTTGGAGCATCCAATAAGCCCAACTAAGCGGAAGGATGTCTTTCTGGCGAAGAAGCCATGGCCGGCGTGCTAGACCTTGACAATATGTGCAATCCCGTCTGTGGAAACAAAAGCTGACCTATGGGAGATAACTATGGGATTGACTTGGACGGTATCGAGGGCGTGGCATGTTCTCCCAACCTGGCCGGGTCCGAGAACAACGGAATCGATTTGGACCAACTCACCCCTTTTGAAAATGGGATCAACAATAGGACAGTATCTCCGGGACCAGGGCGGATCCTGGCAGGCTGCATAATATTCAACTGTTTCCCGCTGTTTAACGTTACACCATCCAAAGTCGGATACGACCTCTCAGTGTGATACAGGACTAGAATTTCTCCTGACAACGTTTCGAGCGCTGTGGGTTCGAGGAATGTGCTGCAGGGACCGCGACAATGGAGGAAGGCGGCTTTGCCTGTGGTCATGAGATATTAATTAGCGACGGCACGCATATAATGGACAATTAGAGGATTCGCTACATTCATCGCGTTGATCATATGTTTGACTCACTGCGTTCGGTCTGGGTGACTGCATTGTGCGATTTCAGCACTGCCACGGTATGGCCGCCATTGCTCGTTCTCCATGAGCCATCCTGCTAGGACACCTGCCTGGTCAAGAGCTTCCTTACTAGAGACACTAGCACTCATATGACTAAACGCTGTGTGACGTTGCGGTGCAATTCAGTCGTGTTCAGGTTTTGTGTCGTTTGTGTTCCCGTTCAAGTCTCTGCAAAGATCAGATGTCGTCACGTGCCCCACTTAGATTCCTCTACTTACTCCTATAATTAGAATACCGCGGCGTCCTGTTCCAAGAAGTCTTGGCGCGTACCCATCTGCGCTTTCTCAGGTACACTTTCCAAGGGGCACTTCCCTACCTGCGTCGATAAACCACGTGCCTTGACCACGTGCCTCCTAATGAGGGGTCTTGGGAGGTACGCTGTCCCAGCACAACCTGTCCTCAGCCAAACCTGTCCCCAGACGCAGCCTGTCCTCAGCCACAGCCTGTCCTCAGCCACAACCTGTCCTCAGCCACAACCTGTCCTCAGACACAACCTGTCCTCAGCCAAAGCTGTCCCCAGACGCAGCCTGTCCTCAACCACAACCTGTCCTCAGCCAAACCTGTCCCCAGACGCAGCCTGTCCCCAGACGCAGCCTGTCCCCAGACGCAGCCTGTCCTCAGCCACAACCTGTCCTCAGCCAAACCTGTCCCCGCCATAACCTGTCCCAAGCACAACCTGTCCCCAGACGCAACCTGTCCCCAGCACACTTTCTTCTTTACAAGATTGGGTAAGTTAATTATAAAGACTTGAATATACTGACTAACAATGCAGTATTGAAATATTGGTCCTGTACTGGAACAGGAGGTGTGATCGTTGCAACGGGGGTGTTAGATAAGCTGACGGAACCCGCCAGGCTGGAGGGACCCTTTTGCGGGCTGGTAAAGTCGCATATAATTGGTTAACTACTGGTTCCCATTTTCGGGTCCGCTGAGGCTTAGCGTAGTCATGGTGGGCTGGCTTGTAAACTAGAGGCCGTCGATCTGACGCCACACCTTAAGTGACGCCATACTTAAGTTAAACCATCTTGATTAACCACAGCAAGAAGATCTACTTAGTGTTGTTCAATTTTTGGGAACCTTCGTGGTTCCCAATTTTCTACTCCCGACCAGTATTGAGGCATCCGCCTGCGTACCAGGAAATGTTATTCCTGGTCTAGGGCAATCACCTAAGTACCAGGAATAGCATTTCCTGGTCCAGTGCGCTCTCCCTTCGTACCAGGAATAGCATTTCCTGGTCCGGTGCCTCTCCCTTCGTACCAGGAATAACATTTCCTGGTCCAGTGCTCTCCCCACGTACCGGGAATAGCCATTTCCTGGTCCGGTGCCTCTCCCTTCGTACCAGGAATAACATTT